CTCTTGCATTCATTTTAAGTTGAATAGTATATAATATAATGTGCCTTTTTTTGTTTCATGTGTTTTGTAATATATATATATATATATATATATATATATATATATGTTTGTATATATTTAGTGTTGATTAGTCAGAGCCTGGTTGATGACCGAAATTATTCAGTAGTTGTTCGGTCCTATACATACATATATTATATATATATATATATTTATTTTATTGGAAGAACTAATGCTGAAATTGTTTTAACTGATTCTCTTCTAATAATTTAGAGAGGGAAAAATGGAGCAAATATAGTTAGCATTGCGCTTGTAACTTTTGGTTGGACAAATATTTGATCAAATGAATGCAGTTTTTTTTGTATAATTATTTTTAACAAAAAAATAATATTTTAGTGTGTATATATATATTGTATTATAATAAGAGTAAATAAGATTATCAAAAGTAGGTGGGAAGGAGGGGGCAGATGAGTAAAACTAAAACGTGAGGGAATAAGCCCAACCGTTTATGTTGTCACGTGGGCCTTTTCAGTCTGGTAGGTGTGGCCTCTTTTCATTTGTTTCTCCCGTGAATTAATAACGGCTACAAACTTTTTCCACAAAATATATGCATGATTAAGATTTTCACCAAATAAAATCGTTGGCAACTTTAGGAAAATGAAATAGTTGACTGATTAGTACTAAATATGTATTATGTGTTATAAATGAATAGTGAAGCTACGGTACTGTTCACGCAGCCGGACACTGTTCACGCAGCCGGGTACTGTTCACGCCGCCATACGGTTACTGTTTAGCCGCCATACGGTTACTGTTCATAAATACGTATACGTGAACAGTAACTTCGGATTTTCTATAAATAGTTCATTTCCCTCCTTCATTTGTACATAATTCCAAGAAAAGAAAATTATTGAAATCTTGTTCCTGGGTCTCTCAAACGATCGATTTCGGTTTCTAGTTAACGATATGATTCTCGGGTCTTCTATATTTCTTCGTTTTTCATAACACGTTATCAGCACGAACGCTCTTCTACGACAAAATCATAATGGCAAAAATGGCTAATATCGAGTTCGAGGTCCTCGACATATCGGGGAAAAATTATCTATCGTGGCAATTGGATGCTGATTTGCACTTGGAATCAAAAGGTCTTGGTGCCACAATTAAAGAGAAAAGTGCATCAACTGAAAATAAAGCAAAAGCACTAATATTATTGAGGCATCATATTCATGATGATTTAAAAAAGGAATATCTGACAATCAAAGATCGTGTAGATCTTTGGGAAAAATTAAAAGACCGTTTTGATCATCAAAAAACGGTAATCCTCCCCAAGGCAAAATATGAGTGGATTCATCTCAGATTTCAAGATTTCAAAACTGTCAGTGAATATAACTCGGCGATGTACCGAATCACATCAGTTTTGAAATTATGTGGTGAAACAGTTAGCGAAAATGAGATGTTGGAAAAAACCTTTTCAACTATGCACGCCTCGAACATTATCCTCCAACAACAGTATCGAGAAAAGGGGTATACAAAATACTCAGAGTTTCTCTCATGTCTTCTATTGGCCGAGCAGAATAATGAATTACTGATGAAAAATCATGCATCTCGACCGACAGGTTCTGTACCATTTCCTGAAGTAAATGTTACAGAAAATATATCATTCCCTGGAGAGAATGTTATATTTTATAATAACCGAGGACGTGGTTATTTTCAAGGTAGAGGCCGAGGTCGAGGTCGAGGCCGAGGACGAGGTCGTGGCGTTAGCCGAAGTTGGAATAGAGGAGGTGGTCGAGGAATCTCATTCCAAAACCATAACAATAATAGAGGGGGAACACATGATCATCCAAACAAACGGATGAAAGAAAGCACATGTCACCGGTGTGGAATGACAGGACATTGGTCACGTACTTGTCGCACGGCTAAACACTTGGTGGACCTTTACCAAAAATCGATTAAAGAAGCGAAAGGGAAAGGTGTCGAGACAAATCATGTCATAAACAATTCGGATGATGATGCTGGTGGTGCTAAAGATTTTACACACATGGACCTCGCTGATGGTTTTGCGCATCCTGAAGATGGCGTTGATTATGAATAAAAAGCCATATATATAGTTATATCGTTTATATATGTAATCAACCTCGTAATAATCCATATATGCATAAATAATGCGTCTACATTTTGTAAAATAGTTATGTATCTGTGTCATCATTTCTGTTAGTCATAATGTTATAATATATTTTCTAATGTTTACTATGTTGTTTTGTTCTTCAATAGATAATGAGTATGGCTAAATCTGCAAATCGAGGAGGAGATATATGTTTAGCAGATAGTGCTACAACACATACAATACTGACAGACAAGAAATATTTTTCTAGTCTGAAAATAAACAAAGGAAATGTCATTACTATATCTGGAAATGCAAAAATAATTGAAGGCTCCGGAAGAGCCGATTTCATAATGCCAGGAGGAACAAAATTTGCTATAAAAGATGCACTATTTTCCTCCAAGTCCCAAAGAAATCTATTAAGTTTTAAAGATATCCGACTGAATGGATATCATATTGAAACCACAAATAAAGGTGATATTGAATATTTGTGTATCACCTCAATCAATATGGGACAAAAATATGTGTTAGAAAAATTACCCACTCTATCTTCGGGATTATATTATACTAATATCAATGTGATTGAATCATATGCCACAGTAAACCAGAAGTTTACCGATATGTTCAAAGTTTGGCATGATCGATTGGGTCATCCTGGTGCCATTATGATGAGAAAGATTATCGAAAACTCTCATGGTCACCCATTGAAAAACCAGAAGATTTTTCAATCAGATGAGTTTCCTTGTGATGCATGTTCTAGAGGAAAATTAATAATCAGACCATCACAAGCTAAAATCGGGCATGAATTACCATCATTTCTAGAAAGGATTCATGGTGATATTTGTGGACCTATTCATCCACCATGCGGACCATTTCGATATTTTATGGTATTAATTGATGCTTCAAGCAGATGGTCGCATGTATGTCTTTTATCATCACGTAATCTGGCATTTGCCCGATTTTTAGCCCAAATAATTAAATTAAGGGCTCAGTTCTCGGAATACTCAATCAAGAAAGTGAGGCTTGATAATGCTGGAGAATTTACATCACAAGCATTTAATGATTACTGTGTAGCAATGGGTATTGATGTTGAACACCCAGTTGCACACGTTCATACACAGAATGGATTGGCAGAGTCATTAATCAAACGACTCCAGCTTATTGCTAGACCATTGATAATGAAAACGAAACTTCCCATTTCTGTGTGGGGTCATGCCATTTTGCATGCTGCAACATTGATTCGTATTAGACCAAGTGCATACCACAAGTATTCTCCATTGCAATTAGCATTTGGTCAAGAACCTAATATATCGCATCTCAGAATATTCGGATGCGCAGTATATGTACCGATTTCCCCACCACAGCGTACAAAAATGGGACCACAAAGAAGGCTTGGAATATATGTTGGGTATGACTCACCATCCATTATACGATACCTTGAGCCAAAAACTGGAGATATTTTTACGGCTCGTTTTGCTGATTGTCAATTTAATGAGAATGAATTCCCACCATTAGGGGGAGAAAATGATAGAATGGCGGGAACTAAAAATGATCTTAATTGGTGTACACCATCATTGTCACATCTTGATCCCCCGGCAAAACAACGAGAACTGGAAGTTCAAAGGATCATACATTTACAAAACATTGCAAATCAGTTACCAGATGCTTTTGCAGATACAACTAAGGTAACAAGATCATATATAGATGCTGCGAATGTCCCAGCTCGAATCGAAATTCCGAAAGAACAAATGAAAGAAAATGTAATAAACGATTCTAAAGCACGCCTGAAGCGTGGACGACCTATTGGTTCTAAGGATAAAAATCCCCGAAAGAGCAAAGGGCCCAAGAAAAATGAAATGCTCGATTCGGAGGAACGCGTTCCAAATCAAAGAAATGAAGTACCTTATGATGATGGTATAAATACAGACAATGAAAATCATGAGATCTCAATTAATTATATCAGTAATGGTACATTATGGAGTCGAAAAGAAATCAAAGAGATTGATGATATATTCTCTTATAATGTATCAAAGGAAATTGATGAAAATGAGGATCCAGAACCAAGATCCATTTCAGAGTGTCAAAAGAGACCAGATTGGATTAAATGGAGAGACGCAATACAGACTGAATTGGATTCGTTGAATAAGCGAAATGTATTCGGACACGTCATTATTAAACCGAAAGAGGTTACTCCTGTTGGATGTAAATGGGTATTTGTACGCAAAAGAAATGAGCACAATGAAATTGCTAGATATAAAGCTCGCCTTGTCGCACAAGGTTTCTCACAGAGACCAGGAGTTGATTATGAAGAAACTTATTCTCCTGTTATGGATGCGATTACATTTCGATACCTAATTAACCTTGTAGTTTCAAAGAACTTAGAAATGCGTCTCATGGATGTTGTTACTGCTTATTTATATGGGTCACTTGACACAAACATTTATATGAAAATCCCCGAAGGATTTAAAATGCCCGAAATATTGAAATCAAAACCACGAGAATTATGCGCTGTCAAGTTACAACGATCATTGTACGGGCTAAAACAATCAGGACGTATGTGGTATAAACGTCTGAGTGAACATTTAGTGAAAAATGGATATACAAATAATCCTATTTCACCATGTGTGTTTATAAAAAGGACGATGTCTGGGTTTGTGATTATTGCTGTCTATGTTGATGATTTAAATATCATTGGAACTCCTCGTGAAATTCAGGATGCATCCACCTATTTAAAAGGAGAATTTGAGATGAAAGATCTCGGACAAACCAAGTTTTGTCTTGGATTACAAATAGAGCATTTGAATACGGGAATTTTTCTACATCAATCTAATTATACAAAAAGGGTACTAAAGCGGTTCAATATGGATAAGGCAAATCCCCTGAGTACTCCAATGATTAATAGATCATTGAATGTTGAAACAGATCCATTTCGCCCCCGTGAAGATGGTGAAGAGACACTTGGTCCTGAAGTACCATATTTAAGTGCAATAGGGGCTCTTATGTATCTTGCCAACTGTACTCGACCTGATGTAGCATTTGCTACTAATCTGTTAGCAAGATATAGTTCAGATCCTACACGAAGGCATTGGAATGAGATTAAGCACATTTTCCGTTATCTTCAAGGATCGATCGATTTGGGATTATTTTTCCCTAAAAGTACAAAACAAGAAATTGTTATTCTTTTCCAGCTCTTGGGTGTATGCAAAGAACTTCGGAGGAATATGTTTTGTCCTATCACTTTTAATATATCCTCCCTTAGTCTGTGCAACGCATGCAGCGTTATCTTCAAATAATATTATTGGAGCTTTATTGGTTGATAATCCACTAGCTGTCTGGATATGTTGAGTCAAAGATCTAAGCCAGACACATTCCCGACTTGCTTCATGTAGCGCGATAACTTCTGCGTGATTAGATGACGTAGCAACCAATGTTTGCTTTTGAGAACGCCAAACTAATGCAGTTCCATTGATTGGGAAGATATAACCTGTTTGTGATCTTCCCTTATGTGGATCAGATAAATATCCTGCATCTGCAAAACCAACAATTTCTTGTTTTGTACTTTTAGGGAAAAATAATCCCAAATCGATCGATCCTTCGTGAACAGTACCGTAGCTTCACTATTCATTTATAACACTCCCCCTTGGAGCTACGGTTAATCAAAATGTATTTGCGTGTCTTATACTGCCTCGTTAAAAACCTTATCAGTAAAACCCCTTGGGATAAAACCTGATAAGGGAAAAAGAGTGCATAGCTCATTTCCCTCCTTCATTTGTACATAATTCCAAGAAAAGAAAATTATTGAAATCTTGTTCCTGGGTCTCTCAAACGATCGATTTCGGTTTCTAGTTAACGATCTGATTCTCGGGTCTTCTATATTTCTTCGTTTTTCATAACATTATGGATATTTTTTTTTGGTATTTTCGTCTTTGATTGACATTTAGTTATTTTTGTTTAAAAAATAATTATAAATTGGTTTTAATAAAATGATATGATACTGATCTATTGGGTTTGGTTCATTAGTGGGCTGGGCCTTCCCATGTTTAAAGTGCATGTTTAATGGGTCAGTTCGACGGCCGAAACTGATTAAATATGATATGGAATGTCTGAAGCTGATGTGGAAACCGGACAAAAAGGGTTTGTGCCACGTGGCAACAACCTTATCTGATCCCAAACTCAGCCAAATAACACTTCAACCTCTCTCTCGTCCACGCACTTGGATTTTTGTCTGAGAGAGAGAGAGAGAGTGGCGTACAGCGCGTGCTTCTTACACCAGAGTTTTCTGACGTCCTCCGCTGCACGTCCTCCTCATCTCAGCGCCACGTGGCACCCTCCAAGGCCGTCCAGATTGTCGGCAGGACTCAGCAGCCGCCGGAGCAAGATAACTCCGCTGTCTCACGCCGTCTTGCTCTCCCTCTCCTCATCGGCGGCGCCGCCGCAGTTGGCTCCAAAGTCTCCCCCGCCGACGCCGCCTACGGCGAAGCCGGTACTCCTCTCTCTCTTCACCCCACCAAAACATGACCATATATGATTCACCATCTGCATGTATATATGCAGAGATTTAACCAAAAAAGAGTTTGGATTTGTCAGCAAATGTGTTTGGAAAGCCGAAGACGGACTCTGACTTCTTGGCGTACAATGGAGAAGGGTTCAAACTGCAAATCCCATCGAAGTGGAACCCAAGCAAAGAGGTCGAGTATCCAGGCCAAGTCTTGAATTACGAGGACAACTTCGACGCCACGAACAATGTCACTGTCATGGTCACTCCTTCCGACAAGAAGTCCATCTCAGATTACGGTCCTCCTGAAGAGTTCCTCTCCCAGGTTCATCGGATTAAACAGCGTTCCCGTTCTTGCACCATAGCTATAGATGAACTGGTTTTGGTCTTACCTGATCGAGTTTGAACTCGTTATGCTTCCCAGGTGAACTATCTCCTCGGAAAGCAATCTTTCTTCGGAGAGACTGCCTCTGAGGTAATTCCCGTCATCACATTTCCCCATTGCAATCAACCTGTAATTGCACCTTTCTGGTTATATATATATATATATATAATCATACACTCCTAGTTCAAGTAGCATGAACACCTATCACTATTATAATGGTAGCTAGTAAGGAAGTTCACATACCTTTACTCCAAAAGAGATTTCAGAGGTTTAGGAGATAATCACAGACAAAAAACGTAGTAATTGGATCTTGAAGCTTATAGGAGGTAACCACCACAAGCATGGTTTTTGCAGGGTGGGTTTGACGGGAATGCGGTGGCAACGGCAAACATCCTGGACACATCGTCACAGGATGTCGGAGGGAAGCAGTATTACTACCTGTCGGTGTTGACAAGAACAGCGGATGGGGAGGAAGGCGGGAAACACCAACTGATCACAGCCACCATTAACAACGGGAAACTGTACGTCTGCAAGGCACAAGCTGGAGACAAGAGGTGGTTCAAGGGAGCCAGGAAATTCGTCGAGAATACTGCTAGTTCCTTCAGTGTTGCTTGAGGGAGAGAGAACGCTTTTGGTTATTGTTGGGATTTGTAAAAATACCCTTATGAGAACCTGTGAAGATGTTCCCTTCTCGTCTCCTGCTTGCCAACTATTTTGTTGAAACCCACCCAAAAAAAAAAAATTTGAATGGAGGTCAACTTCAAGATCAGATCATAACCTGAAAATTGAAGAGTTAAGGGTATGAAACAGAACATTGTTTCAGAGATTTAGTTAACACTCCCATGAAAATATTGACCAATGGACCAAGCTTTATACCAAGCTTTATACTAAATTCGAATTGTAATAAATACGTATAACGCAAGTGTACCAAGCTAATAGAACTCAAGAAATGAGAGAAATGGTTTACCTTGTGCAATAGTGAGCTTTTGCAGAAGAGGATCTCAATGAATAACTTCGAATGTATAGACCAATGCAAAGCAAAAGATATTCAGAATTATGTGTTATTCTCTTGATTTGGTTTTACAAATCTGAAAAGGATAGTACATTTTGGAAATTCTACAAAAGCTTTACATTTCCATGTATTGCATTTACTGCATGTCCCCAACATATCTTAAAAAAAGGGTGTAAAATTGTTCCTAATTGATAGTTTTTTCAGAAATTCTCAACAGGAAATCCAACGGTGGGGCTTATCTCAGAGGCCATAGACCTAAGCTCTCTCACCTCATCAGGTGTAAGACTCCACCCGAGGGCTCCTGAGAATTCTGTTGCTTGTTCTGCGTTTTTGGCTCCTGGGATGGGCACAACATTCCCTTGAGCTACCAACCAGTTCAGCACTACCTGCAAGATTCGTGTTCATGCAACGATATGGTAAGAGTTATTCCCATGATTTTCATGAAAATCATTGGCAAAACATGTAGTTCCATGACAAATTGAACGTGATGTTTCAATCTTTAGTCCATCCAAATCCTAGATTGGACCTTCTTTTCTTGTTTCCAATGTGGTTCTGTTGAATTTTTTTTTTCTCAGATTGTGATAGGGGAGCATCTTGTTGTACATGGTGAGCTTCCACTTAAACTGTGAACGCGAGCACAAGTAACATGCACGAACACATGCCCATGTATGTACATTCGCATTCAAATAATTGATGAATGAATTGGCTATGTGTGTAGATAGAATGGGATGAACATGTAAACAGGGTCAGGATGCACATGAGATATTTCATTGACATGAATCTTAAGATTTGACTCCAGAGAGAATCCAAAACAAAAAAAATCACGATTTTTTCCTTTCTTAAAAGTGGTATCCTTTGAACAGAAAAACCAAAGACGAAGGTATAAGGATGAGACAAAGAACCTGGGTGGGAGTTTTGCCATAGTTTTCACCTATTTGTTTGATTCTATTCAATAGGGGTTGGAGCTGCAACATAACATGTAAAAGTTAGCGAAGAAACCTGGCACTATATGTGCACATGCGAGGTGCGCACACACACACATGCATGGTTTTTTTACTTCTACATACTCAAATGTGTGTTTATACATAGAATAAATAATATGATGTTCAAGGTGCGGTTAAACTTCTTTATATCTATTTATAAGATATGTGTGTGTGTATATATAGGTCTATGTTGGAGATGAAGCCTATGAAACTTTTACCTTGGTTAAAAATTCAGGAGTATAAATTCGGCCCCGAGGACCAGAGGGAGGGTTTTCTGGGGTGTATTTCCCAGTAAGGGCACCTACAGAACGAAAACGGCCATGTTGCAAATGAATGCTACAACAGACTTAAGCAGCCTTTAGGGGGAATAGAAAAACAAGACCGTAAAGTAAACATGGTGAAGGCTATTATCACCTTGAGCAATGGGAGAGTATGCAATCAGAGTGATTCCAAGCTCATCACAGGCAGACTTTACTCCGTTCTGCTCCGGTTTCCTATATATTAGGCTGTAATTGACTTGATTTGATGCCAGAGTAATTCCTCTCTTCTTAAGTCTCTCATAAGCATTGCGGAGGCGCTTCTCTAGAGGAGGAAGACAAACAAAGGGGCTAACAGTGAGTAGAATCAACTCAAAGGTTTATCAGAGAACACTAGAGACTTGCATTACCCTTTCTAGTTTTTTTTTCTTTTTTTTCTAAAGATAATCTGCTCTAGTTGGTATATGTAATTTTTCCGAAATACTATTGTCAAAGGAAACAGAAAATTACTGCTTATCTTAGAATTTTTTTTCCTGTCAAATGCCTCAAAAGCTGACTAGAAAAACAGATCGGAATGATACCGCTGTAGTTAGAAACACCAACAGCCTTCACGAGTCCCTGTTCAACAGCATCCCCAAGACCATCGAGATAGCCTATAACAGAATTCACCAATGATACTAGATTAGGTATAATATCAGGAATGACAAGTCTCATGTTCAAAGCAGTTGGATGTTACTCATGAGAAAAAACCTTCATTTCCCCATACTCCAGGCCTGAAATCCAGCCAAATAAATGATGAGATGCTATCTTAGAATACAATTCTGACATGCATTAGAGCTTAGTAGTACAACGCACCAGTGGAGCTGATAGAGATCTACTGAAGAAAGCCCGAGCCGAGAGAGGGAATCTTTTAGAGCAGTGATTACACTCTGACGACCCAATCTCCATGGTAGCGCTGCAAACTTTGTCGCAACTTCAACCTCAACCCCTGGATCCCTCTGTTTTCTCTCTTTGATGAACCTGTAAAAAGATCATCAATGCAAGTCAGATGAGTAACGGTAATTCATTGTATGCTGGTTTTCAAGGTATGGTAATGCATACCTTCCTAATAGAGTTTCGGAGTTGATAGCACCCAAAGCAAGCTGCAGAAGATGGTGACAGAGAATTTAGAGACTTCCAACCAGTCATAAGACATAACAGTTTTGAAGACTAAGAAGCTTATGTCTCTCACACTTGAACCGTAAACTTCAGCAGTATCAATAAAAGTTAAACCATTGTCAAGGCTGGCATCAAACGCGGCCTTGGCATCCTTCAATTTCCTATCTGTCATCACAAAGACAAATATATTTCACAAAGTAGTTTTTCAAAATCACAACAGCTACTGTTTTATTTATCCGTACGAATACTTCTTCAAGCATGAGATAAGAAAATCTGAAGACCATTTAAAGAAAAAAGATCGGAACGAAATGAAAAAACCAAAATAATTTATCGTGCATCAAAATTATAACAGGACATCCAATAACATGACAGCGGGAGAGAGACATGAACCCTCGACCAATCATGGCATATATCCAAACACAACGATAACAACATATATGTAATGTCCTTAGCAAAACAAATACAATTCAAGCACATTGATAACGTCGTACACCAAACATCCATCACGAATAAGTCCCTCTAGCTCCAATGAAGTTGTAAGCTCAGCTCCTCCATAAACAATAGTCATTTTACTGACTATAATAGACCAACAATCTCATAATCAACCCTGCTTGATGCCAACAAGAAATTTACCCTCTTGTTCGATCGCTTAATTTCAAACATGTTAAAGCTAACCAAATGGAATTAACCCGCCAAACACTTGATCCTGTTTACATAAGCGCGGAAATGATAAATCTCTCTGTATAGTTTCGCAGAAATTGTTCCTCAAGGAGAAACTGGGAAGCAAGTATCAGTATATATATTGATTTCACTTCAATCCTCTGTATCTTCTGAGAAACAACGACAATTGTTTTATTCTTCGTCCACAGAGATTTAAAAATCTGCCCTGTAGCAATCTCAATTAATCAAAATAATAAGTTTGAGAGAAACCTTTTAAGAAACAAGAAAAGATCACAGAATTTATATGATCTTAAGAAGAAAGACCTTGCTCTGTTGTCCTTTCGGCTTAAAGAAGTCTTCCTCATCACTTTCTTCATCACCCCCGGAAAATCCACTCTACAACCCTTTTAGAATATCAAACAAGGTCAAAATGAAAGAAGGAATGAATTCACTCACCATCCCACTGGAAGTTATTCCAGTAACTGGTATCACCCCATGACCAAGCTCCGATCCCGATTTTCGAAACCTTCAAATCAGAACCACCCAAATTCACTTTCACTTCCTCCGCCGTCGCCGCGTAATCGCCAGAGGCTACAGCTCCAGTGAGCGTCTGAGCGAACCTTCTACATATTCTTCTCCTGGATGCTTCGGGGAAGGAGTAATAGCAAGCGGAACTCAGGTGCGCAGCCATGGCCAAGGTGTTTTTCCCTTGTTTTTTAGTTTTTGTTTGAGCTCCTCTGCTCCGATATTTTGATTCGGGGGAGAGAAGAAGAGGTTGGCCTTGAGGAGAGAGGCGTGGTCTATGAGATGGACACGTGTCATGTTGGCGGGGGCGAAACAGAGTTGAAAGTAGCGTCTCAAAACCGCTGCAGCGTTTCCGAAACGCAGTTTTTTGGCGGCTCTCGAGAGTCGAAGATTATGTTTCAACTGTCCCGTCATTGCATAACCCCAAAACACACACACACACACAATTATTCTATTCCAAACAAGTTGTTTGCAGAGAATTTAGGTGGAGTTCATTATATGAATAAGAAATAGAGAAAATTGAATGATCTGTCCTTAGGATTCTAAAACCGGCTGACTCGGTACCCATGTCCAACATATACCACTCGTCCACATGCATTATCCCTTTCTCAAAATCTCCTCTCATCTCCTTATACAGGAGGACCTTGCGCTGTCCAAGTGGTAGAGTGGTAAGTGGGAGTACAGTCTATGTCTTTCCTATCAGCGAGTTCCTTTTGTATTGGGGTTTCTTTACTACCTCCACTCCGAAAGAAAAGGAACGTAAAGGGCAGGCAGCAGAAGTGAAAGCCCCTGGGATTCTTTCACGTAAATCACTGCACATCTATTATCTTGTCTTCTCATTCCTCTCTTTTTTTTATGTTGTAAGTCCGACGAGTTTCAAACCAGTCCTCTTCTCTTCCCCCATCTCCGCCACCAGATCCTCTGACTCCTAGCTACAAAGCCAATACCTACTGCAAGTACCATCAGACAAAGACTGACCGTTGTTTAAGAAACATGACATCCAACACCTTATTGGGAAAATGGAATCCGGTCCGTCTCGTCCCCATCTGGAATTTTTTTTTAATCTAGTCCATCCCAATTCATTTTTTTACGAACCGAAAATATATCATTACCGACCAAACGGATCTATAAACCAAATATATAAATTTTAAAAACAAAATTTTAATACTAAAAAATATTTAAAACTAATTTTAATATTTAAAATATAATAAAAAATAAAATTTTAAACAAAAACAAACTAAATATGTAATAAAAATATAATTTGCATATAAAAATATTTTAAAATATATAAAAATATTAAAATTTTAAAAAAATTTTTTTTTTGTCCGGTTTTTTTTTGCTCACCACGAGTCCGGTTCATGACGAGGAAAAAACTTTTTATTTCACCAAAAAAAAAAAAAAAAAAAAAGAAAATTCGATATTCTCCAATGGCGGTATAGAAACGAAAGACAGGAAGGGTGTAAAACGCTGCGGATCGTGGACTGATTCATGGATCGCCCTATATTTTTTCGAGCCGGATTCAAAATACAGAAAAAACTGGACCAAACTAGCCAGTCCATCATGAGTACGGCTCGTGGTAAG